GTTTCTTCCTCGCCTCCACCGGGGACACCGCAGCTCACTGCCGCTCGCAGTTGTCCCCGGCTCCGGCAAGGTCCTGGCTTGGCCTCGGCCACGGCGTGGTGGACACTCGTCCCCGCCTTTGGCCTCGTGCAAAGCAGAAATTTACCGACGCGAGAAAAAAATAATTCAGGCACATGAGATTTAGCAAAACCGCTGAAAAATAGCAAAATGTGAAACAATAAAACGTCCAACCAGTGAAGCCTACTTGGTCCTGCCCGAGGACTGCTCTACCAGCTGGAAAAGAAAAGGAAAAGAGGAAAAGCACCATCGCCCCCTCCCTCCTCCCACCCATCTCAAACAAAACAAGCAAAGAAAACGTAGGCCCCGGCGGCAGGCTCCTCGGCCCACGCCTCTCCTCCCTCCCAAAACCGGCAAAACTCGTCAGGAAGAACACCGCCGCGGCGCATTACACGCACAGACAGCAAGCTGCCCCCCCTTTCCCCCCCACCAACGTGCCAAGCAAGAACCTCATCTTCCTCCCCCACCGCCCAAGAACCTGCAATCCAGGATACCAGAGGTGGGTTTCTTTCTTTCTTCCTTTTTTTTTTTGAATCAGTTGGTAGATTTTTGAGTTCTTGATTCGTCCGCTCCGTGTAAAAGTTGTTGGCTTCCGTCAAGAATCTGGCGGAACCCTAGCCGCCTTCTTGGATCAAGTTTGAATTCTTAGGCTCTCACGAATGATTCGGCACTCCGCCCCTCCCAAACCGCTCCATTTGGCGTTCTTGATTTTTCCCACGCGGCAAGTTAATTATCGTCTTCCCCTCAAGAATCCGAACATTTTTTTCAGTTCTCAGCGGAACAGAGGAACCGGGGTTTCTGGCAATCTTTTCCGCCCATTCCGCAAGATAAGGTCGAATTGAGTTTCAGGACGGAAAGGAAAGGGTTTTTCCCAAGTCCCAACTTCTGTTTCCGCCGCCATAAAAGAACCCCCTTTTACAAGCCGCCATCTGATTTCTTGTTGCTATCAACTTTTTCTGTCAATCCTTGGTACTAAACCACTGCTGCTATGTGTCCAGACATGCCGCCGAGGGGGAGGAAGCACTGGTGCAAGCACTGCAAGAGGAGCTTCCCTTCCGGGGCCTCACTCGGAGGCCACATGGCGGTCCACAGGAGCCGGCGCAAGAAACAACCGAGCGGCGCCCCGAGCATCGCCGGCGAGAGGTACGGCCTCCGGGAGAGGTGCCAGAAGACGTCGTGGCTGCTGGATTCCGCTTCCAGTGACGACGATCGGTGGGCGTTGTTCCCCAAGACTGAATGCCAGTTGTGCTTCAGGTCCTTTGCCTCCCCTGATGCCCTGTCGATGCACATGAGGATGCACAAGCGCCGCAGGAAGATGGCTGTGGAGCACCAGGCATCGGTAGGCGATGGTGACCACAATGTTCCTCTCTCTGCTGCTCCGGTGATGAAGAGGAAGAGGTCGAGGAGGATGGTTATGGACACTGTTCCTTCCACGGTGATGAAGTCATATGGGATGGAGGAGGTCGATGCCGCACGGATTCTTGTGTCGCTTTCAGGAGATAATGGCATGTGCTCAGCTTCTGTTGATTGTGGTGAAGGTGGTGTGATGGACGTCAACGCGGCATTGGCGTTCGACACGCTCATGACAGAGATGGGGCTGAGTTCTTCTGATCATCATGGAGATGACAGAGTTGGAGATAATGAGTTGATGGAGCCAGAGCCTTCTAGTAGCTCTTATGAGGAAGGGAAGTTTGTCAGCCTTTCAAAGGTGTTGAGGGCAACAGCTACCTATGAGTGCAAGCTTTGTGGACAGGTCTTCGCGTCTGGTCAGGGATTGGGAGGCCACAGAAAGCGTCACAGTTTTGCTGATCATGGTAGAGTTCCAACTGTTCCCAAATCTGAAGCGACTCAGCCTTGTGAAGAGCTGCTTCCACCGGATCGCCGGTTGCTTGCTCTCAGCATACCAGCTCCCAGCATATGGAACTGCAGCAGCACAAGACCAAAGCCTGAACCGAATCCACTGTTGGCCGCAAGCAGCCTTTGGGATGAACGAATGCTGGGCGTTATCTGAAAGTGGTTACAGTTTCTTCATAGATCTTGTAGCTAATCCACATTTTTTGCTAGCAGTCGATAGCCAAAGAGTATGATACCAGGAATGATCTCTGTAGTCTGTACAATCGTTATCGACAACTCTGTCTTTTGGATTTGGCAGTGTTCTTACATGTTGCACTGCCTTTTTAGGTTCCCAAACATTGAAATGTACCCATTAACAAGCAGGGCATTAGTTCTAGATTGGCTATTCCCTATTAGAGAGCAGTGTCGTCCAGGTTGCAGCAATTCAATTTCATTTTTATTTTTTGTCCCCTAGACTCTGTACAATCGTTATCGACAACTCTGTCTTTTGGATTTGGCAGTGTTCTTACATGTTGCACTGCCTTTTTAGGTTCCCAAACATTGAAATGTACCCATTAACAAGCAGGGCATTAGTTCTAAATTGGCTATTCCCTATTAGAGAGCAGTGTCGTCCAGGTTGCAGCAATTCAATTTCATTTTTATTTTTTGTCCCCTAGACTCGGGCAACTTTTATGATCTCCAAATTTGTTCAGCTCATTGTAATTTCCTACTTTTGCTTTGGCTCGGCCTGATATGGCTTCCAAATTGGTTCACCTGATCGTGTTTCAAAGCAGCTTATCGCTCCGTTTTAGCTTTGATCAGTATGTAGTATCATATGTGGCTGTGAAGATTCAGTGCTTCAGTTTCCTGGTATTCAGAATGTGTTTTGATCTTTCTTGTGTGTTCTCTTCATGTCAGACTGATAGTTTCCACAGGACTGAAACCAAATTGCAGAAATTTCATGCATGCATTGTTGCAGATAAAACCAGTTCATGCAATCAATGATTTGTAGTCTGCTCTTTATACCAGTCAGCACCTTTCTGTTCAAATGATTTGTAGTCTGTTCCTTATATCCAGCAGCGCCTTTCTGATGAACAAATATGGTCAATGGATCATGCAGATAATGCTTTCCGATATCGTATCAGCATTAGAGCAGTCTCATGTTTCAAAGTGGCCTACCTAAGCCCTTGATATATATATTTTTTCTGATGAAGGCTCCTATTTCTTCAACTCTGGAGGTCATTAGGTGTTGTCCAGATGTTGAGAGAGCGAATGTAGTCGATTCAGTTGCTCCAGTAGTTGTGGTTGTGTGCAAAAAGTATGGCTTTGTTTTACGAGTGCTCCAAAGGTTAGGGTTCTGTGAGAGTTGCTTTCCTTTCTTTAAATCCTGAAGAAAATCATAATATGGAAATTAAGGTGAACAGCATAATTTACTTTCTAACAGTGAGTGGCCCTGAGCAACAAAATATCAAGTGCTATCATCTTACAAGTTCTTCCCTGTCGAGGGACTCAGCGTAGCGCCTTCGAAAGGGCAGACGAACCTCAAAATCCAAGGAATTTCGAGACTAATTCTTCTCTATTGCGGTCTGGTATGTTTTTCCGGGCTGAGAACTTAAGAGCATACCATACGATATCAGAGAAATCAAAGCAAGCATTCGAGACTGCAGATTGTGCAATGACAGGTTCATGTCAAAAGCAACTTCTTCCAAACATAGGAATCAATACCATAATTTTTTTGACAGTAATGGCAAACAGCCGGTCCGTATATCAACATGTCACGTAAGCCATCAGATTAACAGTTTCACAAACATGGCCTGACAAGGATGAACAATTCCCAAAATACAACCTAACCAACTGGAGAAGGCCTTGATTGTGAACTATAATAATGACATACAAACATGGATGCTAAAACATCAGAATGTTTGTGGAGCACTGCATAACAAATGCCTCGAGCAATGTTCTTGTGAGCACGTAAAACAGGACGCCGAGGGTGATGGACACCGGTAGGGCGGGCAATGCCTTGCGGTAGAATGCCAGCAATAGCAGGGTGATGCCGAGCCCCGCAATGATGGCAAGGTAGCACGCGTAGACCGTCATGTAATCGTACATAGCCGCCCTCCCGACGAGCACGCTGTAGAATATGAAGTCCCCCAGCCCAAGCTTGATCGCCCCTGATGAGCCCAACCCGATGCCATCTTCATCATCGTCGTCGTCATCGTCACTGGTTCTATCTGGCTGTGGCTGGATCAACGGTACCCTCAGTTCAGCAATATCCAGTCTAGTCTCCGGCAATGCAAGCGCCTCTCTGGCTTGTGCATTGGCAGAACCAGAGCTCAAATCTGGCACCGGTGACTCCCTGAGCCTTGAATTGCTAACAGCACCAGTCAAGTTCGTCTGCTCCCCGGCTTGGGCCGTCGAATTGGGTGAACTGCCACCTGAATTGAGAAGAGGATTTCTCCCCAGCACCTCACCAATCACCTCAACTGTGGAGCTGGGGTCCAAATCCCCGGCGGGCTGCCGCGCCCTCTCCCTCCAAAGCCGCCAATTCTGGCCGTGCCTGGGATCCACCGGCCTTGCCCCGTAGACCAGCGCCGGTATCTCCTCGTTCCTCTCAATGGCCAGCTCGAGAAGAACCCTCAGGGGGCCACCGGGGATGAGGACGGCGCCGAGGTCGTAGACGGCCATGGCGACGAGCAGCGCCCAGGTGGTCCACTCGGGGAGCAGCGTGAACCAGAAGGCGGTGAGCACGGCGATGGCGAGGAGCGCGGCCTGGTGGAGCGCGATGGGGACGGAGGCCGGCGAGATCGCGGCGACGGCGAGCGCCGCGGCTGCGTTGGGGAGGAGCAGCGCGCAGGAGACGACGTCGAGCGGGAGGCGGAGGCGGGAGAGGAGGAGGAGGCACATCTGGCCGCCGAGGAGCAGGAGGACCCAGATCGCGGAGAGGCCGAGGTAGGCGCGGAGGCAAGGCGTGCAGCGGAAGTAGAAGAGCAGCGCCATGAGGAAGGTGGCGGCCGTGACGAAGACGACGAAGACGACGGCGGTGACGAGGGCGCTCGCGAGGTCGTCGCCCCCGCCCCCGCCGGGGCCGCCGGCGGCGGCGATGGAGGCGGTGAGCGGGGACGGGGACGAAGGGGAGGAGAGCAGGGAGACGAGGAGGACGACGATGAGCATGCAGGCGGAGACCGGGCCGACGATGCGGGTGATGTCCTCGCCGAGAGTGTCGAGTATGGTGGCGGATGCTCCGCCGACGGGGACGGCGGCGGCCGCCGCCGCCGCGGGGGCTGGGGCTGGGCCCTCGTCCGCCATATCTTCTCGGTCGCGGCGATGGGATCGTTTGGGCCGTGGGGTTCGGCTGTTGTTGTCATAGGAGGAGGCCTTTTGGGAGTTTTGTCTCACTGCGCCGTGGGTCCTACCAGGGTCTCCTCGCCTCACTCCGAAAGACGACAAGTCCAGACTCGATGCGAAAGATAACAAATTCTGGATTTTATTTCAGCTGTCCTTGCAGGTCCTTTTTTTTTCTGGAAAGGATCAGATCTACGGTAAAAAGTTCATCAAAAGTACAAAGCATTTCAAAAATAAGAAAAAATTACATTGTTACATCGTTAATTTGACGTCGATAAAACACAAAACTTACTTGTCAGCCCCGCTCCCCGCTCCCAGCCACGGCGACTCCACAGCTCCCGCACGCCGATCGCGACCGCACCCGCACCCCCTCCCCCTCCCCCCTCCCCCCCCCCATCTACGAAGCCTTCCCGGAGATGGTGAGACTGATCTCACCAGTTCCGCAGGGGGGACTCATGGTGACCGGGGCTCGGGGTTGGGTGGAGCGGGCGACCAGGATCCGCGGCATGGATCCGGCGCGTGTGGGAATGGAATGGAAGGCGGCGGATCAGGTGGTGGTGGCAGCGATAGACCCGAGCACGAGATCCGCGACGTTGAAATATGCGAGGACTTGCCAAAGGAGGGCGGATTTGGAACATAAGATCCTGGCGAGGAAGATATTCGACGAGGCCACGGTGGAGGAAAGGGCAAGGATGCCCGCCTTTCCCCACTCAGCGTCGGCCGCATTCGTGCTGTGGGCGAGGGCAAAGGCAAAATCAGAGGATCCCCGGAGGGCGCTAAGGTGGGAGTGCATGCTGGGGGTGTTGCCGTCGGGTGCATCATTGCAGCTCTCGTCCTTGCTGCCGGCGACCAGCCGAGTTTGAGGAGGGGTCGTCAGGTATCTGCTCAATTCTCGAGTTCTGAGGGTGGATTCTCTTCGTCAGCTTCGGCGAGTTCTGGTTCCAGTAGGAGCAACAGCTTGAGCTCGAGGAGATCAACCTCGCCACCGCCGGCGAACTTCGGCTTGAGGGAGAGTGTGGACTCAGGCCCCTGGAGGATTGCGGATCAGAAAGCCCCACAGGTCATGGCCTAGGTGAAAAGGATAGAACCGAGACAGTTGGTCGGTCCAGATGGGGAGAAGACTGCTACTCTACTAAAGTGGTGGCGCCTTCTCAAAATCCACCTCTCAGTGCTCGCCCTGACCTGCGGGTTGGGGTAACAAAGAGAGATCCAGCTAGGGTTCGTCTGAGAAATCCCAGATCCAACCTAGTTTGGATTAGGAAAGACAAGTTTGCCTCAGGAGATTTTTCGGCTACGGACTGCTTCCCTGTGGTTGTGCGTGATTCCAAGCACCTGCCCATCCCCAAGTTCTTTAGTTTCTCCCACGATCACTGGTCGAGGAAGACGGTTAAGATCCCTTACGCTTATGTGGTCAATCTCATGGCGGGAGGTGGTAGAGATTCAGGCAATAGAGGAGGAGGGAGATATGGTGCTGGCAGGGGGCGAAACCCGGGCCGTTCTCCTGCTACCACAACAGATGGTCGCCAAGCCGCGACTGCTCTGCCTCCTCCCCAGGTTCCTTAGGCTCCACAGGCTCCTCAACCTCAACCTCAACCCCCGCCTTTGTCATTTTTTGCAAAACCCCCATTGTTTCATGTGGGAGCTGCACCAGCCATGATGCAGTCAAATCCCATGTATGGATATCAGGGAGGATGGAACCCTCAGATGCAGCAGATGCCACAGTGGCCCCAACACCCCAGTTTCTCATATCAGTACATGGCAGCTGCTCCTAGGTACCATCAGCAATTTAACTCAGCGAGCCAGAATATGCAACCAACGCAGACAATGCAATACAGTGGTGGGAGTTCATCTGCAGGTGGTACTGATCAGACTCAGGTTGGTCACAACAAGAGCAAGAAGAAAAAGAACAAGAATCAGAGTGATGTTGTACAAGCTCAAAGCGCCTTTACATATGAATATGGTCCTCCTTTCATCGTGGACCCGAAATATATTGGAGCTATCTATTGTAATTGTGGCATGCCTAGTCATTTTGTGGGCATGTGCTCCATTCCCAGGATTTGTTTCATGTGTAAGACCCCTGGACACCATATGGATGCTTGCCCCTCATTGTACAAAGCATACCCAGCAGCTATGTATTGGGGGAGTGCAAATACTGGACTTCGTTTCTTTCACATTGAAACTAGTGGTAAAGAAGACAGTGAGTTGCTTAATTTTGGCAATGTGGGACTAGTTCTTGTTGAAAAGGGTGAAATATCTGGTAAGGAGCTAGGACAACACTTCTCTGATATGTGGAAGACTAACTGGCCTTGGCAGATCAAACCTTATGACAAAAACAAGTACATTATCAAATTCCTCCAAACAAGAAGATTAAGGACTTGGTGGAATACCCTTCAATTAACCTAAAGAAGGAAGAAGTGACAATCTCATTTGCTGATTGGAATGGACAGCATCCTTTCTATGACAGCCTGATAGAAACGTGGATTGTCATTGATGGTTTCCACCAAAATGGCTATCTTGGTCGACTATTGCTCAAGTGGCCACCACTCTGGGCGTGCTTGTCAATGTTGACTGGCACACCATCTTCAGAAGTTTCTATGAGAAAGTTAGGGCCCAGGTGGTTGTTAGAGACCCCAGCAAGATCCCCAGAGACAGAGTTGTAGAGATCAATCATGAGCTGTATTTGTTGAATTTTTCTGTGGAGAGAGATGCTGATAATGGGACCACCTTTTACAAGCCATCTGATCCTGATGATAATGATGGTGATGCTAACAGAAAGAAACAAGAAGAGGAGGATTTTGATTCTAACAATGATGACTTATTGGGGGAGGATATGGATACTGGGACTAGTAACACTATCAACAAAGATAAGAATGTTGCTGCTGGTACTAGTTCCAGGGGTATAAAGTCTGTTCAAAAATGTTGCACCCCTGTCCCCGAGAGCAATATAGAAGCTTATGTCTTCTCTAAAGTTCAAGGGGCCCCAATGACCAAAAGCTATTTGGAGGTTGTCAAAAAGAAGCCAATAGAAAATATGGGAGGTCCCCTTCTGGAGAGATTTGAGACTGTAGTTACTCAATCCCACACCCTTCCCCAAAACATACTTGACAAAAACAAGAAGTGGGGTCCTGTGATTTCTACTAGATCCAGCACTAGAAATAAGAAAGATGGGAGACCTACTCTGCGGAAAGCCCAAGAATTGAAACAAATCAAAGATCTGGAGCTACCAAAAAAAGGTAAAAAAGGCACTCAAAATTCCTTTGCTTGTCTAGATGATGATGTGCTTATCTCCACTGCTGATTGCTCATGTATTAATTTGAGCTCTAGTGGATGCAATATTAATAAGAATATTGTTGTGATTAAGCAAATTGAACTTCAGAGACTTGATAAATTTAATCAAGATATCCCTGAAGTTTTTCTCCCAGCCAATATAGATATTTCTGGTGAGGAGTTTAATGTTCTAGCCCCAAGTCCAGGGACACATGTTGAAACTGGTGAGGACCCACATATGAATGTGGACCCAGAGCCAGATTCCCCTTGGATTGAGGTCAAATTTTCTAATTCTGGTAGGAGTAGACGAAAACTTGATTTTATTATTAAATGATTGGTCTATCTTGGAACATTAGAGGCCTGAATGGGCCCATCAAATGCAACAAATCGAAAGGGTTTATTAGAGCCCAAAAACCTGATTTTATTAGTATTTCAGAATCTAAGAAAGAAGACTTCACCCAATTACAGTTGGAAGTCTTCGATACTAGTTCCTGCTTCACTTGGGAATGGCTCCCTGCCAATAACACCGCTGGAGGCATTCTGGTGGGGATTAGGGGAGATCTATTTGATATTGTTTGCTGTGACATACACACTTACAGTATCTCTTGTTTGCTTAAAAACAAACAAGATGGATCTTCTTGGAGACTGATCTCCATTTATGGCTCTACTTATGATCAATATAAGTTGGACTTTATTAATGAGTTGCAGAACTTGCTCATTGGCTGGGCAGGCCCAACTTTGGTAGGAGGGGATTTCAATTTAATTAGAGAGGCCAGTGAGAAAAAACACTGGTCTGATTAATCAGCACCGGGCAGATCTGTTTAATGACTGGATCAACAAATTTGGTCTGCTTGAGCTGAAAATTAATGGCAGAAAATACACATGGGGCAATAACCAGGATACCTTGGTTATGGCCACTATTGACAGGGTATTTATGTCCACTGATTGGGCAGCCTCTTTTCCTAATGTTCATCTCAGAGCTCTACCTAGGGTAGAGAGTGATCACACCCCTTTCATGGTGGATACTTGTGCTTCCTCTGTTCCTAAAGAGAAGGTGTTTAGATTTGAGAAATGATTTCTTGAAGTAGAAGGCTTTAGAGAGATAGTCTACAAAGCCTAGAATACCAAATGTTGCTTAACTAAAGCTATTGATATTTGGCAGTTCAATATTAGAAATACTAGGAAAGCTATTAAAGGTTGGTGTGCCAACTATGAGGCTGATCAAAACAGGCATAAGCAGGCCTTGATAGCATAATACAATTGCCTTGATATTTTCTCTAAGACTCACGCTCCCTCGCCCAATACTAAACACAGAATGACAACTATTGCAGGTGAGCTGAATGATATCTGGAAGAAAGAAGAGATCAAAGCTAGACAGATGTCTAGGGAGAGGGAGATTCTAGAAGGTGACCTTAATACTGGGTATTTCAAAGCCGTGGAAGCCAAAAGAGGAGGAAGAAGTAGATCATGATGCTCGAAAGTGATGAAGGTACTATTTTTGACCCTGAAGGTATCATGAATACTGCTGTTAGTTATTATAAAAAGTTGTTTGGCTTTGTAGATAAAATTGATATCACTCTAAAAGATGACTTTTTGCGTGATGATGAATTAGTCTCTGATGCTCATAACAACATTTTAGATACTGCTTTTACTGAGAAAGAAATAAAGGATGTTGTATTTAGCTCTTATGCTGAAGG